AGGTAGGGCTCGAACTTGCGACAGACCGCAACACTTGCTACGCCTTTAGTTAAAAGCCACACCAATAATTAAGTATTATCGAGAAAAAAAAAGAAATAAAATAGCATTACAGGAAAAAATCGCAATTACAATGCAGTTAGAATGCGATAGAATGCGAAGCAGACTCGCATGAATGTGTGTGTGTACATGTATACATAAATTCTTAATGTTTTCGCTAGCTGTGCCATCCAATTGCGCAGTTACATATAACTTTGGTTTTCTCTTAACCGATCTTAGTGAAATTTTCTACAGTAAATCTTATTGTACCATACAATATTTGTGTATTCTCAAAAAGTCAATTGCATTAAAATTGTTGCTTAGATTGGTTGGAAATATAAGTTGGGTTATTAACTTGATTTATAGCTGTGATGTGTTAGCGTGGAGGTGGCGATAGCTATAAAATGAAAGATACTTGATATATATGTAATATTTTAGAAGCAACATATCAAGTTTGGTGACTCTATCTCTTAATATTGATCAAAATATTGAAACAAACTCTGCGCTGGCATTTGGACCACCTACATTTAAAATTTCAGGTTTATAGCTCTTATAGGTTCCTTGCGTTCATTCATACGGACAGACGGTCGGACAAACGGACAGACAGACATGGCTAGATCGACTCGGCTATTGATACTGATCAAGAATATATATACTTTATGGGGTCGGAGATGCTTCCTTTTGCCTATTACATACATTTGCATTTTGCACAAATACAACATACCCTTTTTACCCATTTTTAATGGGTTCAGGGACAAAAAAAAGGTGAGAGCGCGAGAGTCCGAGAAGGTGTATTTATATTGATTGCTTCCTCACGAAAACTTGCTCACCAAAGAGGCAATGTGCAGTTAAATATAAATAACAAACAACAACAAGAAGGCTACATACAGAGCTATTAGCGCAAGCGCACAATCAAAACTGCACAAGAACACAAGTTTAATAGAAACAATATTTAAAAAATAACGAGAAAGAAGGGCTGTCTTCGGCACGTCGAAGATCTAATACCCTTGCATACCCAGCCTTTTCATAATGCTTATAGTGATTTGCCCGTATTTAAGAAGTAAATAGTTAATGCCGAGTTTGGTTAAGATATCTTGAAAAACAAAATACATACAACTTAATTTTCGACCGATCGTTCCTATGACAGCTATATGATATAGTGGTCCGATCTTAATAGGATTTTGCATATATATGAGGAGCATAGTAAAACCAATAAATGTAGAGTTTGGTCAAGATATCTAAAAACAAAATACATACAACAACTTAATTTTCGACCGATCGTTCCTATGGCAGCTATATGATATAGTGGTCCGATCTAAATAGGATTTTGCATATATATGAGGAGCATAGTAAAACTAATTAATGTCGAGCTTGGTCAAGATATCTTGATAAACAAAATGTTTTTTCATACAACAACTTAATTTTCGGCCGATCGTTCCTATGGCAGCTATATGATATAGTGGTCCGATCTGAATAGGATTTTGCATATATATGAGGAGCATAGTAAAACTAATAAATGTCGAGTTTGGTCAAGATATCTTGATAAACAAAATGTTTTTTCATACAACTTAATTTTCGACCGATCGTTCCTATGACAGCTATATGATATAGTGGTTCGATCCAGCTGGTTTTGACATATGTGCTGCGTGCAACAGAAAGAGGGACTTCTGCAATGTTTCATAAAGATAGCTTTAAAACTGAGGGACTAGTTCGCAGAGAAACAGACAGACGGACAGACGGTCAGACGGACATTGCTATATCGACTCGGCTGTTGATGCTGATCAAGAATATATATACTTTATGGGGTCGGATATGTCTCCTTCTATGCGTTACACATTTCACTAAAAAATTATAATACCCTCTGCAAGGGTATAAAAATGCACAGGCCACAAAAAATAAACCGGGAAGGCAAACAGAAAATAGAAATATATAAATAATTAAAATGCCGGTGTTTTATTAAATTAAAAACAAAAGGGAGAGCACATCAAAAACACATCTGTTCACTTTAAGAGGAGAACGAATGAATCAATGTGTTATAGATTTCAGAATGTGGGCCAATTAACCACAAAAACGTTGCATTTTTTTCGATTCATAAATATATGGCTGATTTACAAAACAAAAAATGATCTAAAATATTTACGATAAATGTTTTTCAGCTGATGACCTGGTGATCATATCAACTTTTTAGACTATAATGCTCCCAAAAACCGATAATTTTCCATTTTTTGTTTGTTTTGTGTTTCACCACCATTTTCAGTATTGCACGCTACTTTACAACGTGACGTCGCCGTTGTTTCCTTTGTTCATTACCGAACACGATTCTTTTTTTCAATTTTTATTTCTGGCGCCTTAATAATTGTTGAATTATTAAGTTGCATGCATCTATTAAGCATCTTGTCTTGGTGATGGCTAACGCTCAATATATATGGTAATAAATATGTCATCGACGAGCAGCGAGACATAGTGACGAACCATACTTGCATAATATCGAACAAGCAATATTATTACAGACGTAAGTGTTGTACTTGCTGAAGACTCTGGTCTGTGTTTCGTAAAGGTTCCCCGTGATAGTTGATAATTGATTACGTGCGTTGTCAGTATGAATGTACATAACATATTTTTACTGAGTTCAAAGGTTTTAATGAAATCTTCATATATATTTACCGCCCTATGTCCCTTCAGTTGATTTGTTAGTTGTTTTGTCTGTTCGTCCGTCCCTTCTTCTGCCCGCCCGTCTGTCCGTATGTATGAACGCAAGGATATCAGAGCCTATAAGAGCTAGAGACTGAAATTTTAGCTGTAGGTCCTCCTAGTGCCTGCGCAGATCGAGTTTGTTTTCGATAATCGATAACTTACTCCGTTTCCAAGCAATCGATAAAAATGGACATCGACATCCTGTTTTTTGAGCAAATTGGATAAATAATAAAAACTAAATCCACCAAACTTGATATTTTGCTTCAAGATTATTATATATATAGAGCTAAATCCACCAAACTTGATATTTTGCTTCAAGAATATTATATATATATCAATCAATAAGTATGTTTCATTTTATACCTATTGCGCCCTCCCCGCTAACACCTCATAACTATAAATCTAATTAATAACCCAACTTATATTGCCTAGCAATTTAAGCCTAAATTTTAATGCAAATTTAATTACACAATAATATATACTTTATAAAATTTCATTTAGATCGGTTAAGGAAAAACCAAGATTATGTTTTACTGCGTAATTATTATTTTCTGTGGTTACTGGTTCCGCTGTTGAGTAGAGGCATAGCAAGTGGTGCGGTCTAATTTTTTTTGCTGGTGTGGTCAGTTGCGAGTTCAAACCTTGCCAGAAAACTTTTTTTTATTAAATTTATATTTATTACTTCAAACGAGCGCGTTGCGCTTACTCCATTTGGTGTTGGAATAAAAGTGTTCAAAGTATTCCCTAGTCGAGAGCTCTCTCTCTCTCTTCTTATACCCCGAACCCATTAAGAATGGGTTAAAAGGGTGTAATGTTATTGTGCAAATGCATAAAACAAAGAAAGGAAACTTCTCTTGTCCCATACATTATATTTATTCATGATCAGCAACAATAGCCGAGTCGATCTAGCCATGTACGTCTCTCTGTCCATTTAAAAGTATGAACGCAATTATGCTGCTGTTGCTATTGCTGGGTTTGCCGCTGCTGCAATCGATTCCTTCTATGGCGTGGTCTGTTTGAGTATCTGCAGCTTCATTGGCGTATATGTGATCCTTGGTGCGTGGTTCAAGAATTTCTACATTTTTTTTTTCCAACTTGTTTAAGTCAACTGCTGTAATCGGCACATAAAACTCTTGTAGGTAAACAATAGGCTATAAGCAATAAGACCAATTATCGGCTGCCTGCTTCGCATAACAGATTGCCACGAAAGCAAAAAAAAATCCTATTTCCACCAAGGACGGATAGATTTCCAAAAAGTGCGAAGCTCCCCTAAAATGAATTTTAGGAAAGATCTTTAAAAATGATTTTGAGGCCGATCAGATGCTAAACATTAAAGTTTCTTACAAACATTTTTCGCTAATGTCCCATTGTTGTGGGTGAAATTTCCCAAATCGCTGAACGTATCTATTAAGTTCTTATGTAGATCTTCGAAAAATAGTATAAAGCAAATCGCACAAAACTTAAAACTTAATAAAAAAATTGCACTTACCGTGCATGATTTATTCTGCGAAGTATGTGAAAAAGCCTCAAATGATTTTACATATTTAGCCTTGAAAATGAATCAGTAGGAGACCTTATCAACCAACAAGCAGCAAGTCAAGAAAGCTGCTAAGGCGGCATGATTTATTCTGCGAAGTATGTGAAAAAGCCTCAAATGATTTTACATATTTAGCCTTGAAAATGAATCAGTAGGAGACCTTATCAACCAACAAGCAGCAAGTCAAGAAAGCTGCTAAGGAGGCAAAAAAGGAGGCTTACAAAGAGTTATCCTATAGACTTGGCCAAACGCCGACTATAATGAAGCAAAATTAACATGTATACATATATGTATACATTGTTAATAATTAAATTAAGCTATCATTAACCAAAACTCACGCTGATAAAAGTTGCTAAAAGTAAAAAGTGACCGAAAATAAGCAAAAAAAAAAGTAACTTACAAAAAAAAAAAAAACAAATGAAAATAAATGAATCTTTGACCTCCATTTCCACCAAAGAGGAATACGTTTTTGGAAAAGTGTGAAAACACCCCTCAAATGATTTTTAACAAATTTTGATTTCTGCATATTTGCGGTTAAAATTTCCCGAAACCCGTCTTAAGGTGCACCTTCATCACATAAGGTATCTACAGTTTCTGCTTCTTATCTCTTACGATTTGGACTGTGCGTTGACCACCAATTAGTTAGTCAATAAGTTATTCAGTCAGTCAGGACAAACAGATTTACACATAGATATTATAATATATACAATACTAACAATTCTAATAATTGCAGCCACCAATACCTTCGACAGAGGGTACCGATCCCTTTGAAATGATCTGTGATGATGCCCAAATAGCTGAGTGGAATAACCAAGGGTTACCTAGTGATAGAATGTCTGCGGAGAATGCTGCCATTTTGGTTCAATCCCAACGCTATCCGCTAATGATTGATCCTCAGTTGTAAGTTTAAAATTATCCAAAAATATATTAAACTAATCAATGCTTTATAGACAGGGCATAAAATGGGTGAAAGCAAAATATGGTCCGGGTCTAGTAGTGTTGCGTCTAACACAGCGGGGATATCTTGACTTAGTAGAAAGGGCTGTTAGCAATGGAAACGTACTTTTAATAGAGAACATTGGAGAGAACGTTGACGCTGTACTAAATCCATTACTTGGTCGCATGCTGATCAAAAAAGGAACTATTTTGAAGATCGGCGACCGTGAGATTGACTTCAATTCCAACTTCCGTTTGATTTTGCATACGAAATTAGCTAATCCGCACTATAAACCTGAAATGCAAGCACAAACTACACTTATTAACTTTACTGTAACACGTGACGGCTTAGAGGATCAGTTATTGGCTGAGGTAGTCAAGGTTGAAAGACCTGACTTAGAATCTATGCGTACACGTCTTACGCAGCAACAAAACCATTTTAAAATCACATTAAAGCTTTTGGAAGATGATCTATTGGCGCGATTGTCCTCTGCTGGGGATAATGTTCTTGAAGATATAACCTTAGTTATGAACCTTGAAAAAACGAAGAAAACAGCCGACGAAATTGAAGTAAAGGTAGCCGAGGCCAAGATTACAGGTGTTCAAATTGACTCTGCCCGAGAAGCATACAGACCTGCCGCTGAGCGAGCCTCTATTATATATTTTATACTAAATGATTTATTCAAGATAAATCCAATCTATCAGTTCTCATTAAAAGCATTTACAGTAGTATTTAATAACGCAATGCTTAATTCTACGCCAGCTGAAAAACTCAAGGATCGCGTTGAAAATCTAATGGAATCAATTACATACAGCAGCTATATTTACACTTCTCGAGGGCTTTTTGAGCAGGACAAACTAATATTTCTTACTCAAATGTGCCTTCAAATATTAGTGAATATTGGCGAAGTGGAGCCTACTGAACTAGATTTTCTTCTCCGATTCCCGTATATGCCCAATCAAACTTCAAATTTTCCGTGGCTGACTCATATTGGATGGGGAGGCATTCGTGCATTAAATAATTTGCCAGCTTTTAAAGGATTAGAAAAAGATATCGAAGGATCGCATAAGAGGTGGATGAAATTTATTGATTCGGAGAATCCCGAGAATGAGAAATTACCTGGTGAATGGAAAGCAAAGTCGGCAATTCAAAGGCTCTGCATAATGCGCTGCATACGTCCCGATCGCATGTCATATGCAATGAAAGGTTTTATTGACGAAAAATTAGGATCCAAGTATATCGATGCGCGGTCCATCGAATTTTCTAAAACCTTTAAGGAGTCAAGCCCAGAAACTCATATCTTCTTTGTTTTATCACCAGGTGTTGACCCACTTAAAGATGTAGAAAAAATTGGCAAGGTGTTAGGCTATAGTTTTGATCATGAAAACTTTCATAGTGTTTCATTAGGTCAGGGGCAGGAAATTATTGCAGAAAAAGCTATTGAGACAGCTTCACAACAAGGGCATTGGGTCATTCTACAAAATATTCACCTAGTTGCACGCTGGTTGCCTAGCCTTGAAAAGAAAATGGAAGCTTCTCTTATTAATGTGAATTCCAAGTATAGACTTTTTTTAAGTGCTGAACCTGCAGGTGACCCGTTAATGCACATTTTACCGCAGGGAATACTGGAGTCTGCGATTAAAATTACAAACGAACCGCCGACGGGTATGATGGCTAACATACATAAGGCCCTCGACAATTTTAGCGATGAGACACTTGAGATGTGCTCTAAAGAAACGGAGTTTAAAGCTATTCTTTTCTCTCTATGTTACTTCCATGCCGTCGTGGCTGAACGTCGCAAATTCGGGCCACAGGGCTGGAATCGATCATATCCATTTAATGTGGGTGATCTTACAATTTCAGTATATGTTTTATTTAACTACTTGGAGGCTAACACTCGTGTCCCTTGGGAAGATTTACGCTATTTGTTCGGAGAGATCATGTACGGTGGCCACATCACAGATGATTGGGATCGTCGATTGTGTCGCACTTATCTTGAGGAATTTATGCAGCCAGAACTCATTGATGGCGATCTAGAGTTCTGCCCCGGTTTCCCTGCCCCAGGAATTCTTAAATATGCTGGATATCATCAGTATATCGACGAAAATTTGCCATTGGAGAGCCCTTCCCTATATGGCTTAAATTTAAATGCTGAAATTGGATTTCTCACAACAGTTTCAGAACGACTATTCAGAATTGTATTTGAACTACAGCCGCGAATGTCAAGTGGTTCAGCCGGAGGGGGTGAATCTGTGTCACAAGAGGATATTATAAAGGGTGTTATTGAAGATTTGCTCGATAAAGTTCCCACACCTTTTAATATTGCAGAGCTTATGGGACGTGTAGAGGATCGTAATCCATATATTATAGTTGCTTTCCAAGAATGCGAGCGAATGAATATTCTTATGTCCGAGCTTAGACGATCACTAAACGAATTAGATTTGGGTCTAAAGGGAGAACTCACAATATCGTCTGTCATGGAGGATCTTATGTTATGCCTCTATATGGATCAAGTGCCTGAGCAGTGGACTAAGCTTGCCTATCCAAGCTTGTTGGGCCTGCAGTCGTGGTTTGGGGACCTTATGCAACGTCTTCGTGAGTTAGAAAGTTGGGTTTCTGATTTTCGATTGCCATCATCCATTTGGCTAGCTGGCTTTTTCAATCCTCAATCTTTACTTACTGCAATTATGCAGCAGACAGCACGTAAAAATGAGTGGCCCCTTGACAGAATGTGTCTCAATTGCGACGTCACAAAGAAATTCAAAGAGGAATTCACGTAAGCTTCTTCAATTATGTGTGATCCGTAGATAATATTTTACCTTTTTAAATAGTTCTGCACCTCGCGAGGGAGCGTATGTTAATGGCTTATTTATGGAAGGTGCACGATGGGATATGAAACTGAGCACAATAACAGATGCTCTTAACAAAGAATTGTTTCCGGCAATGCCAGTAATTTATATTAAGGCGGTCACACAGGACAAACAAGATATAAAGAATATATATGAATGTCCAGTATACAAAATTAGGTAAGTATTAGAAACACTTAGCAAAATTCTTCACTTTTTCTCGGTAATGATATTTCAAATAGATAGACAATAAAATTTCTTACCTACCGATCATCGGTATAATTAGGTCGACCCTATTATTGCAACGAGAGAGTGTTAGATGAGGCTTATTTAAATTAGCTTCCAAAGTGAACGTCCGGAACAGCAGGTACTGTGCTAAAAATTAAAAGCCCAAATCTACTGGTTTGGTTGTGCTAATAAAGCGAACGCTTTCAATCCTCGGCAGATATGTAAAGTAGTTGAGCATAATTAGAATTTGCATGCACTTACTAACCGCTCTGGAGATTCCTACATATAATTTAATATTTCTTCGAATTAGTGCTTCTGAGCGAATGATAATTACTTAATTCAAAATTAATTGTCAATACAATTTCATTTCGGTTAGCTATGTCGATCCCGCTTCTTGCTTTTACTCGCAACTCGCATTGGCTGTGCAGTTGTTTTTGTACTCATTTTTCGTTGGTGCGTTTCGGTCAAGAGACGCTTGCTCCCCTACGCTTTATTGAACAGTATTCAAAACTCGTTTTGCAAATTTGATTTTAATTTAAACGAGAAAGAAAGGCTATCTTCGGTACGCCGAAAATCTAATACCCTTGCAGACCCAACCTTTTCATAATGCTTATAGTGCTTTGCCCGTATCTAAGAAGCACAGGGATAATAGTTAATGCCGAGATTGGCCAAGATATCTTGATAAACAAAATGTTTTTTTCATACAACAACTTAACCTTCGACCGATCGTTCCTATGGCAGCTAAATGATATAGTGGTCCAATCTCAATAGGATTTGGCATATATATGAGGAGCATAATAAAACTAATAAATGCCGAGTTTAGTCATGATATCTTGATAAACAAATGGTTTTTCATACAACTTAATTTTCGACCGATCGTTCCTATGGCAGCTATATGATATAGTGGTACTATCTTAATAGGATTTTGCATGTAGATGAGGAGCATAGTAAAACTAATAAATGTAGAGTTTGGTCAAGATATCTAAAAACAAAATACATACAACAACTTAATTTTCGACCGATCGTTCCTATGGCAGCTATATGATATAGTGGTCCGATCTGAATAGAATTTTGCATATATATGAGGAGCATAGTAAAACTAATAAATGTAGAGTTTGGTCAAGATATCTAAAAACAAATTTGAAGTTTTTATATTTAATACATTTTTTCTAAATTAACATGCTGTAAAGCGTGCTTAAATAATTTCGGGTGGAAAATTCCAAGTTTTTTAAGTTACACTCCTAACTCTGTCTTTAATGTATTCAGTGAATTCTTGTAGGTTGAATATGAGGAGTGCTAACCTTTGGTTTCCCTTATCTATTCGACTTAAGTAATTTATTACTCGGCTTAGTTCGTTTGCTTGTACGCTATTCTCTGCTATTGTTCATTTAGGGCTCTAATTCCTCTTCGTCTTGTTGGTCTAAAGTGATATTTGGAAATAGTGCCCATAAAATTAGCAAGACCACGTTTACTACGTTTTGCTATTCTTATGCCATGCATTTCCCTTAGTTTTTCTTTTATGTATTTTATTTGTGAAAGTGTTTTAATCTCTTTGGCTTGATTGATCTGATTTTATTATAAGTTTGTTCCTTTTTCGTTATGTTAACAAACAAATAATAGTATTAAAGATTAGGTAGCCATTTTTAGCTTGGGTCGAGTTGATTTCTACACTTTGCGGCATTAAGCATGCTATCAGTTTAAGTTAGGCTTTGCTGGCCGATTGCTGTAATTATCGTACTTGCTTACGTTAATTTTTTTTTCTTCTTAAACTTAGCTTTGTAATGACTGATTTTTCTACCTCTAATAGTTTCATCGAAATGCTTATCGTCTAGTTTCCTGAGGTTTCCCGTTTTCTTGAATGGGATTGTAGTCTTAGAAATTACTAAAGGTAAATCCTTAAAGTGTTTCCTTAGTGTGTTTTTCAAAATCTTCTCGTTTCCTGAGAGCGTAGTCTTTCCGTGCTCCCAGTTGTTGCATATTTCGCATTCATTTTTAATATTTTGTATCAATTTTTGTTGATCAGGGTAGTAATATTTTTCTTTAGGAGGGCTGCAACTTTTTCTATACCGGGATGCAATAAGCCTTTATGACTTTTTAAGGATGATTTCCTTGAAATGTGCATAGGTTTGGATGTCTATAACTTGTTTAGTAGATTTCATTACTGTTAGTTTCATATTGTTCGGTTATTTAGGTTAATTATTTTAATGCATGCGTTTTTGAAAACTATGAAATAGCGTCATTATGGAAGTAAATTACACTTTTCTTAGTGCATAAATATTCTTTAATTAATTCTTTGGCGTATTCGCGGCTCATATCCAGATTAGAGATTTTTAATTTATAGAATTGGCATCTATGGTTAATGAGAACTGGTTCTCGAAATTGGGATATACTAGTATCGGATTGGATATTATAAATAATTTTAATTTTTTGAATGCTTCGGTGGACTGTTTATCATTTGTGTTTCTGACTGCTCTCTTTTTTAGTTTCGCTGTCATTTGTTTTGCTACTTTTGTACTAGTAATGTTCATTTTTAGTTGAGAAAGGAATTGATCTTTCAAGCATGTGGATTTGTTGAAATCTATTCACGGGTCAATGGTGGTAAAATCCTAACATTCACCAAGTTTGTCTAGTATACTATCCATTGCTGGTATGGAGTCGTCCATTAAGACTTCATTAAGGCTTTGGTAGTCAATGCCCAAAATTGTTGGTTGCCGGATCCCTTTTTTTGGGTATGATCCGCTACACCATTCCCAACATTAACTAAATTTTACTGGCCAGGGGGTCCACCAAATTAGAAATGAATAGTAAAGACAGACAGAAAACAGCGTTTACCAATGAAAGTGCTCATTTTGAATTCATTCGTATGCCTTTCGGCCTGAAAAACACCCCAGCAACATTCCAGAGACGCAAGGACAATGTCCTCCATGATCGTGTCGGCTCTATTTGCCTCGTCTATCTTGACGATATAAAATATTCTCACCCTCCCTCCAAAAATATTTGATATATCTAAAAGAAGCATTAGATAGATTGAGGTTTGCAAATTTTAAAATACAATACATATATCAGATTTTCTATGAATTCCTTGGTCACATTGAAACCAGAGAGGGCGTAGGACCAAACCCCAGTAAAATCGAAACCATTAGGAAGTTCCACTTTCCCAAAAACAGAGAAGAGTTTATATTTGGGAGTTCCCGACTATTGGATACCCTGAACACTCTTGATCGAAGACCAAATAATAATAATAAAGACAAATTAAAACGAGAAAGAAAGGCTATCTTCGGCAGGCCGAAGATCTAATATCCTTGCAAACCCAACCTCTTCATAATGCTTATAGTGATTTGCCCGTATCTAAGAATCACAGGGTAAATAATTAATGCCGAGTTTGGGCAAGATATCTTGAAAATCATATAAGGTTTTTAATCCAAAACCTAGTATATTAGGAGTAAAGTAAAACTAATAAATGCCGAGTTTGGTCAAGATTTCTTGAAAAACAAAATGTTTTTTCAAACAACAACTTAATTTTCGACCGATCGTTCCTATGGCATCTATATGATATAGTGGTCCGATCTTAATAGGATTTTGCATATATATGAGGAGTACAGAAAAGCTAATACATTTAGAGTGTGGTCAAGATATCTTAAAATCAAAATGTTTTTTCATACAAAAACTTAATTTTCAACCGATCGTTCCTATGACAGCTATATGATGGTCCGATCCAGCTGGCTTTAACTTATGTGCTGCGTGCAACAGAATTTTATTAACTTGTTCGAAACTCTTGTTCTTAACGATCATGCGATCCCGAGCATAGAGAAATTCAATCTTCTGATCTCATGTCTCTCAGGAGAAGCTCTATTCACTGTTAGAGCGTTTCAAGTCACCGAGGACAATTATTTAAATGCATTGGACAGCCTAAAGAGAGTATTCGACAATGAATGTCTAGTAGTTAATGAAAATATTTCGGCTAACGCAGCCTTCTGCCGCATCATTGCTTGACACTGTTTGTGATGTATGGCTCGCTCCTGTCAATAGGTGATGACGAAAAGATTTCTAACGCGATTCTCATTCACCTCGCTATGAACAAAGTTGACCCAATGACCAGACGAAAGTGGGTGGATCAACTCGATTATGCAATCACTCTACTATGGAGTGATTGTGAAACAGCCTTGAATCGTAGATATCAACACCTTTCTGCTGAAGAATCAGCCAAATTTTGTCTGATGGCCCGAAGCCAGAGTCAAAGGCTGTTTTCAAAAACAATAATCAAGCATAGTGGAAGAAACGATCAAGTGACCACATAAAGTTTATATTGCGGCTCCGAAGGACACTCGAAATTGCATTGTTCAGCATATGCCAGCTTATCAGTACAGCAAGTATCAGTACAATGTAAGCAGCAAGTGCAGAGTATGCAGTCTTTATAACACACTGTTGCATCCACCACCCATTGACTTCGCACAGGATCAACCATCGACTTCACATGCTATGCATGCGAATGAATGTAATCCTAGCTACCGCAGTCGCTAGCGTTAAAACGAGAAGTGACAAGTTCGTTTTGACTAGAGCTTTACACGATTTTGGTTCACAAATTAATTTTGTAACAGACGAGCTAGCACATCGATTGCAGCTGCGTAGAGAAGAGGCCAGTATCAGCTTATTTGGTTTTGTTCAATTCAAAGGAAGATTCATACAGGGGTGATGTCGCGAGTCAATTGTGGATTTGTGGATTTTGAAGACCATTTCGGGTTACCAGCCTGACCATACGGTCAATGTCAGTGGTTGGAAAATCCCTAAGAACCTGATCCATATTTTCATAAGCCACAGAAGATTGACATGCTCATCGGAGCTGAGACGGTTTGTATGTCGGTCAGATTAAACAAGGTCCGAATTGCCCGATTCTGCAAAAGACACTTGTTGGCTGGATTTTATTAGGCCATTACACGACGTTAAGTCATGAG